CCAGGGCACTCAGTGCCACATCCAGCCTCTCCTTAAACTCCTCCAGGGATGGTGACTCCACCACTTCCCTGGGCAGAGCATCCCAGTGCCTGAGCATGAGGAAGGGCTGCCTGAGCTCCATCTCTTGATAGAGAAATGCAGAACTGTTACGTAATCCTCCCCCCTGCACCGAGGAATGACCCACAGCAGTACATGGCAAAGGGAAAAACGCTGGGTGGGACGTTAGTTTAATGTATTTCAGGCTTAACCATTGACATGTTTGGTATATTTGCAATTTTTATACGCAGGTAGTGATCATAATACCCCCATCACGCTCAGCAGCATGAAGGGTTTGCTGAAGAGGCATCAAGCAGACCATGTGTGTTCTCAGCTCGTCTGCAACGGGGCCAAGCCAACCTTCTGCCAGGCAATACCTTATTTCAGGTCTGCCTGGCCTGTTCCTCCGCACAATCGCTCCACATGACATGACAAAATTCTAATTCCTTTGGCAATTTTGAACTCTGTACCTATTTCAGATATCAATCTCTGCTTTGATTCCACAGCTTCGTTTGTGCCTTCATGCTGCCTCTGCAGCCTTCACATCAAGTTAAAACAAGTAGGTGAGGTCAGGAGAAAGCCCCCCTGCTGCTGGAGGCTACAGATTCCACCTGGAGGATCCTCCAGTTCAGATGAAAGCACTTTTGGACACAGCTGGCCAAACCGGGAAGGAGCCCACGGCATCAGACAAACTGGCGACACAAACAGAAGTTGCTGGGGCTGCGGCTGGTGGAGAAACTGCACAACAGACCTCACAAGGTTACAAAAGGCAACTTCTTGGGAGTCATTTCCCACCAGACTTACCTAGAGTAGGACAGTGGATTCTAGACAGAGGCCTCTGGGGTACTTACAAGGGAAGTGAAGGTAATGAGGGCAGAAAATCCTTTTATCAGTAAATTTAAAATGTCTACACAGGGGCTTGCTGCTTTCTGAACAGTTCATGGCTTCTCCTGAGAGGTCTGAATGAAGTGTGAGGTTTAGAACTCATTTGCAAAACGGGTGTATTTTTGCTTTAGTTATATGATACTCCTGTGGAGGCAAGCTGTTACTCACAGCTGACTTGTGAACTACACTGACGGGCCTCTGAGAAGAGTCAGAAAAACCCCCAAGCACTGAAGAGAAAGAAATGAAGTCCAATTCCTCCTGTGCACGAGGCAACAGCACTATAACCCATGGTCCCAGAGGAGAAAGCTGCTTTTTCACCTCTGTCAACCCTTCCAGAAAGAAAAGGTCTCCTGTATTCAAGGCCATCACTTTGATGGGCCCTGCTCCATAAAACTCTTAGTGGTTTGGGGGCTGGATGTCACAGGAGGGCCCCTCTTCACACCAAATTAGTCTACGATAAAAAAAATGCTATGGTGGTGTTACATCCATGCTTTGTGAGAACATAAACATCAAACTGACATGCACAACAAGGTAGCTGGAGGGAATGGACACATGGTCAAACGGTCAATGGCCAAAATTAAATACATTTTACCTTTTTTTTCTTTTCTGTATTTATTTCTTTATTCATCAATCTGAAAAATCATTACATTATCTAAAATTATCTTCTTCATAAGCAAACCAAAAAATATGCATGTTACAGAACACAATTTCAATGCACATTTCTGCAACTCTCCGGCCTCCTGTACTCCTAAACACTACAAACACAGCCGGGTATATTTTATCTGTGAGGACAGCAACCCGAGATCAGTGCTTAAAAATAAACCAAACAGCAATTGCAGAGTGTGTGTGCACAACAAAGGTATCAACCGATAGCAGGGACTGGGGAGATGACATTAGGGGACTACTGTCCATTCAAATTATTAAAGCAGGAGGTGCAGAGCGTTACACAAAGTTTAGTTCAGGCTCTTTGGTTTTTTTTTTAAATAAATGCACTGGTAATTATGACTGACCAGACACATTTCCATGTTACTTTCTGGATGAAGTGGCTGCTGCTCGTTCCCAAAGGTAAGCACGCATCCAGCTATCCCCAGTCTGAGCGTATCCAGCTGGATCTCAAAAGCATCACCTACCTAACGCGACCTGGCCAAGTACGGGCCCCTCGCCCTCTGCCGTCCTTCTCTGCTGTGATACTGTTGGAATCTGTGACCAAATTCCAACAGAATCGCAGGTGGACTGGAGCACTACGCGTCCCCTGCACCTCGGGAAAGCAGATGGCATTAAGGTATCATCCTGAAGGCAACAGCTCTCTACAGCAGCCATAGGGGAAATGTGTATAAATGCATAAAGGAGGAGGTGAGAGTAAGCAGAAACACCAAAGGCTTTTTAGATTGTTCTCAGCATGTTGGTGGATCTCTGTCTCCCACCACCTCTTAAATTCTTGTGTGACAAAAAAAAAAACTTTACGGTTTACTGCCGCATTCTCCCTTACACAATGAAGAGCTCAAGAATTTTTCATACATGATTTTATACAGTTCTTTATGGCTTCTCAGTTTAGGCACCTGCACCAAAAGCATTAAGACGGAATGTAATGGTTTCTTCGATGGAGTGTTGTGTATTACTAAGCACCGAGCTTTATATTAAAATGAAAACAGCTGCATCGTTCACAGAAAAAGTCTGCATTGGCTTTCAGAAAGTGGGTAAAGCACAGAATGCCAGAGATGGCACAGAACAAACTAGGCAGAATAAAGGCACAAAGTTTATTTTGCTTACAAAGCCAAACATCAAGTGATTTCTAGTCATATACCAAAAGAGATAGGAGCAGAATGGGCAACAATGGGAGTTTTTGTAAATTTTGAAACAGCGTGAGTCATATATTTAAAAATCAGCATTTCAGCTGCTGGAAATTTGCCTGCATGGCAGGAGGTGCTAGAAAATCTGTCCGTCCATGAGCTCAATAGCGAAAACAAGCTCCTGGTACACATGAAGGTTTGAGGAGATGAAAGCTCACAACCCACGGTTCAGAGGAAGCACTACGGCAATAAACTATTAATTATGTATGAATACAGCACGGATGGCATCGCCTGCATTTTCACACACAGCAGTTCCCCAAAGGAAGTGTTATCTAATTGGTTTTACAGCCCTCAAAGACAGACGTCTCCTTGGTATCTAGAAAGGAATATATAATCCAGGGGGCTGCTTCTCTGAGAGGGCCCCTGCTCAGGGCCGTACGCATCCTCCAAAGAGTATCTCTGGTCCCACCAGAGGCATTTACTGCGTGGCCTGGCAGTAGAGAAGGCTGGAAAGGACCAATCGTGCAGGCCTGCATATTTTTCAGTAGTAACAAATGGCCCTACAACAACTTTAGCAGGATATCTTTAATTAAAAAAAATGAGAAACCATCTACAGGGCAACTGCAACAGAGAAATCTGATTGCAGCAGAGAAACCCACGATTAAAAGTTTTCACTAAATTATTCAGCATAGGAGCTGGCAAATCACACTTTACTGACAGGTCACTGCTCAATTAATCGTTATAAATAGCTGCATTTAATTGATTTGTTTTGTTTATATAAATGTTACCATGAACCAGATTAATGCATTGTCTGAGTTAGAGGGCTTAACCGTTCCAGTTTAAAGTAAGCCTTTGGCAAATCACTGGTACAGCAGTAAGTGCAGTTATTAAATGTCCTAAAATCAGACCAAAAGCCAGATTAAAAATTTACTGATGGAAAGACTGCCTGTGAATTTCAAATTTCACTAGTTAATATTAAATGATTTCAGTGACTAAAAAATTAAATGGCCCCCAAAGTTTTATGCCATTCTAACCTACTTGTGTCTGTCTCAGATAGCATTTACATCTCTATCCAACTTCCTTTTAATGCTGAACTGCCTAAGTAGTCATTTTAGCAGCAGGTAAATGCTGAAAAATGTATCAGCGACTTCTAGTGGGGGTGTCAGAACCTTCTGAAAATTATTTTCTACTTTAATTTCCACTGCGCGATAAGGCAACAGAACTCCTTGTCTAAAGTGAAACTGTTTTCAGGAACATATCAACTGATCTAAACCTGCTGAGTATTCATGATCAACAAAATCTCATTTAGAAGACAGGGAAAAAATGAGGCTTATGTCCCCTTTTCTCTATTACGTCCCATCAACATTTCAATTTTCAGTTACATCGTGGAGTTTGGGGTGCAAAAGTACCACATCGATGACAAGACAGAGGCAGGCAGTTCTGGAAAGCTCCCAAATGCAGCTGCATTAGCAGCACAACCAACTCAATTTTATATATGCCGAGGTATTTACGGTGTAAAGAATACTTCAAAGGGCTTTTAGGGAATGTTGCCCATACTGGTAACCACACACCGAATTATCTCTAAGTAAAGACAGAGGCTTGTGCATTAATACAGTAAGACCAAGTGCTCCAGTACATCCTGAATAAGGGTAGGAATAAACTAGTACAGCGAAGGGTGCTCCCAGAAGTGCGTTTCCCCAGCGCAGAAAAACCAAGCTTTGAGCACCAATTCACATAACTCACTCATCAACAGTAGCTCCTCCATCACAATGACCTTAGCTGGATACAGGCAACCTTGAACTGAGGCTTCCATTTCTCCTATCATTTTGTCAAGCCAGTTTCCTTTCTCAGGCAGAAGTCCTGGAGACAGAAACCCTGTCACCCTATGCTTAGTGAAGAATAATGACAACCACAGGCTGGGAAACGTAAACAAATGGTGCATTACTTTCCTTCCCAAGTGCCAGTCTCTGATTACTTCATTCCAAATGTCGTCGTCGTTACTACTTGTCAAGAAGTACCAAAAACGTTTGGTTGTCAATTTATTTGCTTGTTTGGTTGTCAAATTATTTGCTTGGTTGACTCACTGTTGACCACAGCCAGGTCTTCTCCCATAGACAGGCAAGAGATTCGATGCAAGCTTTGCGGCAAGCACAGCACATTGACTAGAGAGGATAATTTCACTTAAAACTCAGAAAATGCCTCCTCCCTGCATGCCTACTAGCACCAGAACTTTGCCTGCTTTATGGCAAAAAGCAGCTTAAACCTATAGCAGCAAGCCCCTAAACCCGTTCAGGTGGAGCTATATATTTTTAGTGAATGATCTCCGCTGTCTAAAACGACGAGGGAATTATTTGCCGTGTAAGCCAGCCCTACAGGATAAGAAAGCCCACGGGTTATTAGAGGGTTAAAGATGGGAAACTCCTCAGGTTTCCCTAAGCATACTACAGCCTGGCTACAGACATCGGTTACTATAATGCGATCCTCTTTGTCAAAGGCCACAGCTGTGGTGTATATTTTGGATGGGAAAACGAGGTTCAGACCGAAGCTATCCATCTGGCCGATCAGATCCATCTCTGCACTGAATATCTTCACTTGGGTGCTGCCGCCGTTTGGTCTGCGAGCTTTCAGGTGCTCTATGACCACGACAGCACCCGAGATCTGCGAGACAGCAACCCCTCTCGGGCTGATGAGCTGCGACCGGATCATCTGACACTTCTTTAATTTCCCCTTCTTGAAGTCAGCTGTCAACCGGTAGAGAGCACCTGCCTCCGAGTCCGTCAGGATTACTTCACTCTCGGAGGTGGCATCCACGCCCCAGGGCAAAGAGAAACCTTCCCGAACAGCCAGGACCCCCCTTCCCTCAAAATCAAAGGCCTTCACGGCGCGGTCCCCGCCATCGGTGACCACCACGTGCCCGTCCAACGTGAC